TCAATATTATGCCGTATAATATATTTATTTTATCAATATTTTAATTGTATTTGTGAGCATAAGTTCTTTTTTTAATATTATTTTCATGCAATTCTAGACATGTTTGTTTAAAATGTTGGAGATCATCTTCAACTATAAATACTTTGGTATTATGGGCCAATTGTACATCGCATAATCATGAGATTCCTAGTAATAATAATAAGAGAGAGTGTGTTTTTTGCAAAGTAGGAAGGCTACTGGAAAATCAATGGATATGAAGAATAAAATATACGAGTCAATTTTAGAGAGGCGTATTTGTTTTGAATTATTAAAAAAAAATTCGTATTCATTTGAAATTATGAAATGTCTCAAGGACTCGACCTCTCGACGTCTTGCATATAGCGCAATAGTGTATGATATCCCTGGCGGCCGAAAGCTTTTCCCTGGCAGCTGAGACCTTCTTCAAACTGGTGCAAGATATCGAAAGGTCAGCTCCTTGAGGCGTCCTTTTTTACCGTTCATTTAATCGCATTCTTCAAATTGAGGTGAGGATATTTTACTACGAGTTTAATTTCTTTAATCACAATGCATGATAATTGTGATTTATGTGAGCTAGGTCTTCGGACAATTATCAGACCTTCGGGTACTGAGCTAGGCTTTCGGGCAATTATTAGACCTTCGGATACTGAGCTAGGCCTTCGGGAAAACAGGTGATATCAGGTCTACGGACAAGTTATTTATCACGTGCATATGATGATTGTAATATATGTTATTAAACTTTAAACCAATAATTGCGCAATATGTTTTAATTGTATATAGTGACAAAAAAATTCTTCACTAGAACTCTATTTTTTTTGTAGCGGCTCATATCTGTTGGTGATTCCCCTCTGGGTGCTCGGTTTTGGGGTCCCTTCGGTGCAACTGTTCGGGTCGTGCCCTTGTGCTTTCTTATTCCCTCGATCGGAGACTTTGGGATCTCAGAGATGGGCTAAGATTTTCCTTCTTGCCGGTTCTATCTATCCCTTCGGTGGAGTTTTTAGTTCTGGAGCATGTTTTTGTAGACCCTTAGGTTTTGTTCGCGGGTTGCTATGTTGTGGGTTCAGGCGTGTTGCCCGCATTGTTTAAGGGAGGTATTAGTTTATAGATTAGTGTGTGCTTAGTTTATGTTTGTATTTTCTCTGTATTCTTGATTCTCCACTAGTTGGAGTTGATTTGCCCTTCGTGGGTGTTTTGCTTTGTGTGGATATAGGCATCAGCTTATGGTCTCAACATCCTTCTTCAGACCGCTGTCGGTAGCTTGATAGACCCTTTTGGGTTTAGTTTAATCAAGGGCACTAGTGATCGCGTTTCTTCTTGATTGCACTATGTGGTGGGTCATTTTGGCTAGTTAGCCTGCGATATATATTTGTATTGGGTTCTTCCCCTTTTCAGCAATACGATCTATCATTTCGTTAAAAAAAAAGATATAAATAGAAGACTAGTCTTACAAATTAGATGCACATGTTCGCCTAAAATAACCTTTAAACCCTCGCCCAAGAAACGAGCTAACCTTAAACCCTGAATTCACCAAGAACCGACTGCAGAAAATCCCAAAAACCCTCAGCATGGATCACCCAGCAGCTGCACAGGAGAGATTACTGAACGAGAAACTGACGCAGAAGCTCAATGAGGTCAACGCCGCCGCCCAAACTCATCTAGCCGGTGTACAAGACCACATCAATTTCACTCTACAGGTGATTTCCCCTTACATTCTTGTGCGATTTCATTTTCTTTTGTTAATATTGTGTGGCTAGCTATAAAATGTGTAATGGGTTTTGTTTGTTTTATTTGACAGCAAGCGTACTTCAAGTGTGCATATGAGTGTTTCGACCGGAAAAAGAACCAGAATGAGATCGGCAACTGCGTGGAGCAGTGCAGTGTGCCCGTGGTGAATGCCCAGAATCTTGTCGAAAACGAAATGGCTAGATTTCAGGTAGATGAGTATGTGTGTGTGTGTGTGTGTGTTATTATTTTTCCAAAATGAATCTTCAGAATTGTGGGTTGGGTTTGATAATCGAGATGTTGGAAGTGAAGTTGTTTCTCATGATTTTCTTTTTATGCTGGTGGTGAACTTGAATTGGAACAGTTGTAGGCTTTTATGGTGAGTCTGTGGGTGGTTGTTGAAAAATAAACTACTGTTACTGGTGATATCTGTGGACAATTCTTAAAGATGCTGTCAAGTTATCCTCGAATTTGGTGCATAGTTTATGGTCATTTCTAGTAGTGAAGCACTGTTTGTAGTTATGATGTGCTATGCTGCCCATATAAGTAACTGATAGTTTTAGTAGCAGAATGTGTTTGTCGGGCTTGTTACGCCTGTTATCATTTTTCATCTACTTCAAGTGTGCATTTGACTGTCATGGTGTTTTAAAATATAGTAACTTTTGACCTGATTAAGAGGGATTGATAACCTTAGTTCCCTAGAGCTTAAGTTGGTTTTATTGAGTTTCTCTCAAAATCCTGACAATCGACTGATGATTTTTGTTCCTTTCCGCTGAATGTGTGTGTCATTATTTTCAGAAGTTCTTTGTTTTCTTGCATTTATGTGTGATAACAATGTATGTATTACTTCTCGGAACAATATCGAGGAGATATTCTGAACTTATTGGTTGATATTCATATGATATCGAACTGTTATCCCGAATTCAAGAGGCTTATGCTAATTTGATTACTTATTACACGGGGATTATGATAATGTGTGGAGCAATGATGTATCAGCTTAAGGAGCAACCATTTTTTTAGGAAGCATATAACATAAAACTTGGCTTGGTTTGATTTTAGTTTAATTCAGACACACAACTACATTTGTTATCTTTACAGAATGATATTGCCTGTTCGTACTCTTATCAAGGTTGATGTTTCTCGTAATCCTTTTTGACAAATCCTGATTCTGCTATCAAGTCCTGTGAGTAGGAAGTCAGTGATATAACATCTTGCTGGGGCCTATTATACATTCTGGATCATTAAACGCTGATGTTGTTAATGTTCCTTGTTTCTGTTATAATTTTTTTTTTTTTTCTTTTTTTGTTAATTTTCATTCCCTGTGCTGTGCATGATATATATTACATAAGCTGGAGAAGTTTTGATTATGGCTTATTAATTACTTCCCGCTTCTAAATCCTGTCTGCATTTTCTGATTTGTATCGAAACAGATATACAAAATGGAGAAAGTGGCTATATATGATCCACACAATCGAAAATATCAAGTCATATGAGCCATGTATAATGCCATGGCATGTGAATCCACACTGCAGATCTTTGTTTCTATGTTGCACGTGATTTTATCTAACAAAAACCGAGTAGCTGACCAACTGTACTCTTGAAATGTTTGCAGGAAAAACTGAGCAGGTCTCTCACAGTCTGCCAAGACAAATACGAGGCAGCCAAGCTCCAGAAGAACAGTAACCCTTCAATGCAGGAACTCATGCTGGATAGGAACCAATCCATGCAGGATCTGGAGTCGTGCGTCGAACAATCTGTTCAAGACAGCATCAACATGATGCCACATGTGGCCGGGAAATTAAAGGCATATTTGTCACTCCAAGATTAGAGATTTAAGTAACTGTCCGGCCATGCTGTCATGTTTTGTCTTCATAAATTGCTCTATTGCTCTGTTGAAGCATAAAAAAATTGTTAACTGCCATGAGATCAACATTCACCTGAGTTGTTTTCACTTGCAATTCTTAAACCTGAAATTAAGCTTGCCGGTGGTATGTAGTATTGATTGACCACGTGCGATGTTAGGCTTGAAAATGAAGTAACCTTTTGATCGTCTTTTATCTGAGGTCCAGTCGACTCATTAGAGTTCGAAGACAGATTATATAGTGCCCCTTTAAAAGGAAAGACACAATGCCTTGTATCCTTCATAACAACAAGAGTGCTAGTGGTATCAAGAGCAGGTGATTGTCCATAAGTGGGGTAGAAACTCTATTTTAAAGCAACCCTTATACTCAAAGTCCAGTATGAAAGTCTCGAGACGTCGTAAGATTGGATTTTGTTATTACTTCATACTTTTGATCAAAGTACTGAAACCGCATGATGTTGCTACATAATCTTTCAAAGAATTAATGGAAACTTTTCATTGATAGGACCTTCACAAAGCTTATGAAACAAAAGGGTAGATCGTTCAATCTTCGAACTTCAAGTGAACTTACAACATTCCATCTAGCATATAAAACGTTCTCCTCTGATTCATTAGTCGAAATCCGAGGCTCAATTTTGTTACAAAGATAAATGATATCCTCATCTGCAACAAAAAAGCTTCCACCATGACTTTATTTTAAACATCAAGAAAGCATGCTCAAGACATACTATATCAGCCAAGCATTTCAGTTAAACCAATGCTCAGCAAATTTACATTAGATAGATGAAATCAAGCTTTAGGCGCCAACGTGGATTCTGGCTCGTTCCGACTTTTCTGTGCCTCAAATTTGTCCATAGCAACCTGAAGTTCATCTGTACCGCCCACGGCCCTCATGGTATAAAAATACACCCCAAATACAAAAGCTGAAAGACCTCCAGCAACAACCAGATTCTTGGTCTTTGGAGCAAGAGCACGGAAAGTAGAAAGCCCAGACATAGATAGATAAATGAATAATGTGAGTACAAAAAATAGAATAAATAGATAAATGAATCATACATTATTTAATTAGTATAATAACGTTGACATATATCAAATTGCACTCGTAATCTATCAAAACTACAACTTCTTAACAATCTAGAATAAATAAATTGTATAGGATCTCCTTTATTTGCAATTGTAGTTCGATAAAATTTTAATATCCACAGTTTGTAATAAGCTTTCATAAGTTTCATTACATGATGAATTTTATGGAATAAGATTAGCAATAAATAAATTGCATTGAAATAA